AATATCAAAAATGTATTTCTGTTTTTTCTTTTACATATTTTGTTAAAAGGCCAAATAAGGACTTCGAACCAAAAAAAAGTAATTTTCTGTTTTGTTTTTTTCTTGGAACGGGCTTTAAAGGGATAAAGGGATTTTTTAAAGAGACTTTACTGTCTGTCTATGTGCATCCAAACTCAAAAGCGATATAATTCTGCTTTTCCACAGTTTAAAGCACTTTTACTGTTCCTATCTGGGGTTGTAACAGAGATTGTCTTTGAGAAGAAGTCTGCTCCATAGATAAAAAACAATTCTTAAATAACTGAATTTGCCCTTAATTTGAACTGGTAAACAAAATGATCTGCTATAAAAGGACCTTAAGGTCAAATCAATAGATAACATGCACTTGAAATATGATAATGGAGTATTTATTTCTTACTTAAAATGTAACGGATCTTTTTTTTTACCAGCAAATTGTCTTACCTGCCCAAATTAAAAGAAAATACACTTGTATTAAGAAAGATTATCTTACTTGATTTTTATTTTTTTTTTTTTCACAGCACTAGTGGCTCGTTTTGACAGTAGGCCGACAGGAAAGGGGGTATGAGAGAGGGGGAGAGAAATGCAGCATAGGACCACAGGTTGGATTCAAACTAAAGCCTCCATATATGGGTTTTGTGCTCTAACCACTGCTCCACCTGCACGACCATCTTACTTACATTTTAATTTCTGCTCTAGAGTCATTTCAACATTCAAACAGCATTTTTTCAGACTTCTCCACTTTAAGTTTGTTTCCAATCTTTGATTTTATTTCCTGTTTACATATCATCTTTTTGCATTTTGAAGAATAACTCACCATCTGTATCTCTGCTCTCTAGCTCTCTACAAAGATAAGATAAACTTCTCTTCCTGCCATGTTATAAAATCAAATGCAATATTGAATTCTTTATCAATTTTTTTATTTTTGTTGCAAAAATAAACCCCCATAATACATTTATTTAATGCCTTAAATGTAACGTAAGGCTTACTATTCAGGTGTTATGTTTTTCTAACAATAAAGCAAAACAAGAGTCAGCTCTTTCCTGTAATTGGGGACAATGTTTACTTGGGGGCTTTTTAATTAATATTGAGCTCCAGCCTGTTCTCCTTCCTAAAACAACCTGAAGGCATTTGGATGATTCCTAACACACCCAGCCTGCTTCTGGATGTGTTTGTTTGAAATGTTGTGCGAAGAAGAGGGAGAAACTGATCTACAAACACTGCTGGTGAGACAAACAGGATTAAACACCCTCTCAAAAAATCACAGACACCCAGTAGGTCAGATAAGCTGTGCAGGGGACATGTGTCCACTAGGGGGTGTGATTTACCCACTTTTTTCAACTCACTGAATGAGCTGCTGTGATTTTAGGTTGTATTTCATTCCTTCTGACCACCAGAGGGCGGTGCTGAAAGCAATGAATGCTCCCTTCACGCATGCGCAGAATATTATACCAACTGAGTCAGACCTGTGACACCATGGATAACCGCAGAGAACCTACACTGCTCAAAAAAAGGAACACTGAAGTAACACATCATAATCTGAATGAAGAAAATATTCTCAATCAATACTTTGTTCTGTACAAAGTTGAATGTGCTGTCAATCACACAAAAATCATCAATTATAACAAAATTGATTAACCAATTTATTAACACTTTAGATTTTAAAATGGAAAAATGTTCAATTTTTTAAATATTTTTTAATTTAAAAATTCAATGTATAACACGGATGCATAAACACCTGCATTATTATTTTTTTTTTTATCAGTGTTAAAGTCGAAGGGAAATAATATTTAAATGTCAAATCATTCTGGCTTAAACATGTATATAAATCTACTCTTTATCATAACATATTATCCCAAAAGTTTGAAAATTTCTATTTAAAAAAAGAAAAAAATGTCTTAAAATCAGTTTTTTTTTTTATCTTATGCAGGCCAGTTAGTTGTACGTCAGCCTGAACACCTAAATTCGGCCAATCATATAACAACGGTCATCTGTCAATCAAATTTCTCCGGTCATAGCATGTTGATTCATATGTCGCAGCTAATATAGGCAATAGTTGAAATCAGAATCATTTCCTTTCCCATTGAGTTCCGTCCCAGTGTTCACGGGGATGGACGT